GGCTGACTGTCCAACACGAAAAAAAGATGAAAAGGCAAATCTGACACAAGCAAGGCCAATCGAAGTACCACGGGCTAATTTTGATGGGCCTGCTCTGTTAATGGCTTTGGCTAATCAAAGAAATAAGGATGTAATTCATCTAAGTGAAGACAAGGTTTTTCCAGCCACGTATGAGACACATGATGATGGGGAATGGATGTGGCATTTAGATACCGGAGGAACAAATCATATGACAGGACATAAGGAGATGTTCTCAATACTTGATACAACTATCAGTGGTACAGTAAGATTTGGTGACAACTCGAGTGTCGAGATAGAAGGAAGAGGGTCCATTCTTTTAGTGTGCAAGAATGGGGAACAACGTTTGTTGACGGATGTGCTTTATATCCCATACTTAAAGAGTAATATCTTTAGTATCGGACAAGCTGAAGAAGGGGGTTGTACAATATTGATCAAACATGGATTCTTATCTATATTTGAGCCGGATGGTTCGCTGTTAATGAAGGTTCCAAGATCCCCTAATCGTTTATATAAAATCAATCTAAAGATTGGGACAACAATCTGTTTACTGGCCAAGATAGATGATCCAGCATGGTTGTGGCATGCCTGTCTTGGTCATGTGAATTTTGACACAATAAAACGTCTAGGGACCAGCAAACTGGTCGATGGAGTGTCGGCCATTGACCACCGTTCACAAATGTGCGAAGCTTGTTTGGCAGGGAAACACTCACGACAAAGTTTTCCTGGCCAAACAACTTTCAGAGCTGAGAAACCATTAGAACAGGTTTATGCGGACCTGTGTGGTCCCATAACACCTGCTACTCAGTCTGGAAACAAGTATATTCTGCTGATTGTTGATGATCACAGCAGGTTTATGTGGTCTTTCATGCTAAAAACCAAGGGTGAGGCATTTGAATAATTCAAGAAATTCAAGGCTTTTGCTGAAAATCAATATGGAAGGAAAATAAAGGTCATTAGGACTGATCGGGGAGGAGAGTTTACTTCCAACGAGTTCAAACAGTTTTGTGAATATGCTGGCATCACAAGACAGTTAACTGCACCCTACACACCACAGCAGAACGGTGTCGTTGAAAGGAGGAATCGAACGGTGATGAGCACAACAAGGAGCATCCTTAAAGCAATGGATATGCCACAAAGTTTCTGGATCATTTACAGGTGTTCGGGTGTGTTGGATATGTAAAGGTGCCTTCAAATCAAGTAGATAAACTTGATGACAGAAGTATTCCCATGGTTTACTTGGGAACAGAACCAGGAACCAAGGCGTATAGAATGTATGATCCTGAAGACATGAGGCTGGTGATCAGCCGGGATGTAGAGTTTGATGAAGCACGCAAATGGGATTGGGATTTACAACAAGAATCTAATCAAGAACCCAATCACAAAGGAGAATTTGTGATACACATGAATTCAGTTGAAGATGTTTCAGCAGCCCAAAATCTTGAAGATGAGCCTGCTGAACTTGGCAGCCCACTCAGCCCATTT